TTACACAGTGAGCGACTGGCAGCTCTTTGATCTCCGGTACCAGTAAGCTGGTATGGTAATTGGGCTGTTTTGGTTTGACAAATACCAAATGGGCTCTGAGCTCAACTCCTCACTCACACAGCTCCTGACTCGTTCCACTGATTATTAAGGCGCCTTTAGAGGAGAAATCACAAGGACAAGGGGAGCTACACACTTTGAGAAAGGGAAAAAAAAACCCACGGTTTTCTGTTACTGTTTTGTGGGCTTCTGTCCAACCCATTTTACAGAGGCAACATCTTCTTCACAAGAAAGCACCGTATTTGATCGAATCATTTTCTTGTCCAAGGATGATCAGTGCCCTATTCTCTCAGTGATAGAATAAAGTTGATTATGTGGAGAGACCGGTAGAGGCTGTGATTGTTCTCCTTAAAACAGAGAAGGTTAAGGGGAGATTTAACAGAAGTGTTCAAAATGATGAGGGGTTTTGATAGAGTAAATAGGGAGAAACAGTTTTCCCCGGTGGGTGGGTGGGTCGGTAACCAGAGGAAAACAGATTTAAAATAAGTGGCAAAAGAACCAGAGGGGAGATGAGGAGACATTTTTTGGATCCAGAGAGTTGTTACTGTCTGGAATGCACTGCCTGAAAGGCTGGTGGAAGCAGGTTTGATTTCAAAGGGGAATTGGATAGGTACTCAAAAAGAAAACATGTGTAGGGCTATGGGGTAAGAACGGGACTAGTTGGACAGCCAGCACAGGCACGATGGGCCGAATGTCCTCCTCCTGTGCTGTAAGATTCTATGATTCTAATGAGATTTATGCCCTGAACAAATGAAAGCAAAGTTCACCCAAAATTTCTTGATCAAAGAATTGTGCCCTTTAAAACCGCACTGTCCTTCGCTTGCGAGGTGAGCGCTCTAACCAAGTAGGCGGGAGAGTAGAGTAGAGCTGAAGAGATTGCAGTGGTGAGATGGCACATGGCGGTAGAGGAATTCAAAGGTCGGCTCGAGAATCTCGATGTTGATCTGGTGCAGGGCGGATGGAGCCAGGCGAGACGGGAGTGATCACCCTATTATCTTCGGGGATGTCATCGATCGAAGCTCCCCCCCCCACCCACCCCCGCATTAGATCTGCAAACTTACGGTCAGTGAAACACTGGACAGATCCCTCCTGCCTGACCGCAGAATGCAAACTGATTGTGAGTTGCTGACAGATGGTCTGTAAAGTGATGTCTCCCTCCCTCTTCAAATGCTGTGCGCTCCACAGGTCCAATTGCTTTCAATGTAAGATGTTCAGTTTCAATCTCAATGACCAGGAGGGAAAGGGTTATTAGGCTGGCGTGAAAAGCCCATTACCCCATCCACTGACAAGGTTATCAGTCCTGATATACTTGAGTGCTGACAACCTCCAGTCCTGATAACCTTCCCGACTGGTTGATAAGGGAGCCTTCTTCGGATAAAAGCTCTCCTTTCATCAAACGTTAGACTGGTTCAAACAGCTCAAGCAGCCTGCTTCCTTACACACACACCCCCACCCTTCATAACTTTGACCCCCAATCCCTCTTATCCCTCTCCACTGTCCTCCCTACTCTCTTACACTAAACCCATCATCCGCTCCCTTAATCCCATCCTCACACAGAAAGCACTGTTTTTACACTTATTCCAATGATAATAATCCTTGCATTTGGTGTAGCGCCTTGTCACGTCGTCGAGACGTCTCAAAGCGCTTAACAGAGTATACTGTAAAGTGAACTGACTGTGGATTATGTGGGCGAAACCCAGGTGGCCAAGTGAATACCATAAAGAGAATAAAATAAACAACTTGCATTTTGATAGCATTTTCCTGCTTTGAAACAATCAGCGACTATTTACTAAATGTATTAGTAATACCTACTGGCGATTTGACCACCGTGCTTACGAGTGTCCAATCTAGACTGAGAGTTCTACAGACGTTTGCCGCCGACACACCATGGAAATGCTCCCTGTGTCTGGAATGCAAGATTCACTCTTTCCCCAGAAGGACCACATACTGCTCACCTAATCCCAGAAGGTATGAGTTGTAGGTTGGTGAGATATTTCCATAATGAAAACGTAGCAAAAAATCTATCCTTAACTTGGCCCCATGGTATAGTGGATAGACCTGCAGCTAACTGGATCAGGAGCTGACTGGCTTCAATAATTGGAAGCATTATTTTTTTCAAAAAAAAAGAAAAACAAATTGGCCAGAGAATTGGCAGTCTTGCAGAGAGACCACAATGATGACCCTGAGATGCAGAACGTAGAACTTTTCACACTCGTTCATCAGTGGCCATCCTCCAGGGATGGAGCCAGAAGACTTTACTCTGGGATATTAATATTAAGTGGCCACAATGAGAAAAATATTCTATTTCCCAGCACTAACCACTCTCAGTTTAAGCACAGTATCCACCCAATGTATAGGTTAGAAATAGTGTATGGCTTCAGATATAAAATATTCTTCAACCGAAATGTGAAGAGACTACTAAAAGATTAGGACTTAGTTATTTCGAACAAAACAGTTGATCGGATGAAAATATTTTATAGAAACTCACAAACTCCCATCACCCAGGCTCAAGTTGTATTTCGCCAATGCTGTTAAATACACCTCCCCTCCACCCTCTCCCTCGCTCTAACCCCGTCTCTCCCCCGTCCCCGCTCTTCCTGCCCCCCCTCTCCTCCCCAGGTGCCCGAGTAAACGTTAGAGCCAAGGAGGTATTAGTTAACCAGGAGCGAACGTTTACCCTCAGGCTTTGCTGAGGAGAAACCCAGGTGTTGTTGCTAAAATGGAAAGATGAGCTGAGGTCGGAGGTCGAGCTGTGTGATGGAGCACTGAGCAGGTGAGCACAGAAGCTCAGGTAATGGAGGAGAATTTGAAACTGCCCTATTGTTAGGCACCGGGGCCCCTGCTCATCTCTCTCTTGGTTAAAAACAACAAATACGCTTATTATTCGGAGCACAAAGCCTTCAGTGCTGAAACCTTTGCAAACTGACTCCCAATGGGTTTCGATGCACGAGAGAGAGAGAGAGAGAGAGAGAGAGAGAGAGAGAAAATGAACAGAAGGGTTGAGAAAAGAACTGCCCTTGGAATGGTTCCTCTGCTGTAGGTGACTGTATCACTGCTCAGACCCTCCTCACCAAGGCTGACCTTTTGGAAGGAGCTGCAGGATCGAGCATACATTTCCTATTCTCTGTTGCTAATCTTTCACCGGCCAAATCTAGACCTGTAGATGCTTTTAGGCCATCACTGAGACTCGCAGAACTGAATTTACCTTTCAGTGTTTCACCTCTAACTGGGCTCATAGTCTTCAGGGTCGCCCTCTAACCTTTTGGCTGCTGTTTGAGAAATGTCCGCGGGCCACGTAAATAATATTTGTGGGTTTCCCTTGAAGTAACGTGACATAACTTTTACGGGTTGTGGAGGGAGCGGGTGGGACAGATGTCATGGAGGGAGGGAGGGCCGGATGCGGCCCGCGGGCCGACAGTTGGACCGTCCTGGGCTGACACTCCATTGCAGTACTGGGGAGACCTGCATTGCTCGGGGTGTCATTTCCTTTGAATCAGACTGGAATCGCTCTTCAGGTTCCACCCGTCTTCTTTTCAGGTGGATATGAAAGATCTCAAGACACGATCTACAAAGAGAAAGGAATTTCTCTTGGTTTCCTGACCAACAAAAATCTTTTAGATAAACTGATCGCTCGCTAAACAAATATTGCCAGGGTGGTAGGAAGAAAGACATAACGTAGAGGAAAAGGAAACATCACAAGATTGGTTTGGCTGAAGAAAGCCCTTCAGCCCATCCAATGCCAGCCATCCAGAACACCCATCCTTTCGTCCTCACCATCTCATCATTAAGCCGCTCTTTAAATAACACCACCAACAACAACAGCAACTTGCATTTATATAGCGCCCGTTAAGCAGGGTAGTGTCCCAGAGCGCTTATAGTACCTTTCATGTCGGGAGGACATCTCAAAGCGCTTCACAGGATACACCGTAGAGTGGTGACCGTGTGTTTTGGAGGCAAGGTCTTGATCTTGCGGTGGGAGATGAAGTGCAGGACGTTGAGGGTTGGAGAGCGTGCAGTGACCACAACATACATCATTAGATTTCACACAGGCTAAAGGTATACCTACAATAATAATAATCCTTGCACTTGAGATAGAGCCTGATCACGTCTTCGAGACGCTTCAAAGCGCTTCACAGGACATACTGCAAAATGAATTGACTTATATCTTGTGGGCAAAACATGTCGTTATTATTGGACACTGTATTCTTTTGTCTCTAAGTAATAAGACAGGTTCATCTGTATGGCCTTTGAGTCAGGCCCAGTGACCCCTTTCCCCGAGACTGATGTGAAATAAGTGTCCATCTAAAAATCGAGCTTCTAAAAGAAAGATAAATGACCCGCTGCCAAACTTTATCCAAAACATATGTTTTTTCCACTATTCCTGTTATCTGGGATATTTCCTGAATGTATGTTGCCAGGGCGACCGGCCCAGCATGAAAGAGCTATTTACCAGTTTGCAATGAAGAAGCGAGGCATGTGTTGTCAATCTTGAAGGGCCTGTAAATACATTTTTTTTTCTCTCCGAGGTTCTGTAATGAGCTCAGTGGGGAAAAAAAACACAAGCGATCCCAGCAAACACAGACAGTCTCCTCAGCCCCATTGCCAGAGTTCCTGCTCTCTTCGCTTACTTAATTGACTTGAGATTCCTTTTTTTTTTCTACTTGGCCGTGATAGTAGGGAGTCTGGGCAGCGAGCCATTGTGGTGCAGTTTTATAACTTTGAACAAATTCTTCAAAAAAAAAACTGTCTGGCATTCGGGAGGATTCTTAGACGAGGCAAAGCAGACTCGTCGGTTTAGAGAAGAGGTAAGTAGAATAACTGAGGGGAGAGAAAGCTAAACAAAGTCTCCATTAATAGACTGAGTTCATATTATTCATGTTTTGTTGTTTTCGCAGGCTGCGTTAACAGACACGTGGGGCTTGACTAAGAGGGAATATTTCAGTTCCCCCCCCCCCCCCCTCCTTTTCCCGAGGCTGCTTTGCACAGGCTGGAGAGAGCGAGAGCGAGAGAGAGAGAGAGAGAGAGAGGGATAGAGAGAGAAACACAGTCTATTCTGCAGACGTTGCTGGTAAGTCCGTATTGCACTGTACATTCATTGCCATGTAACAGTTACTCACGTAATTCAGCCCACAGGCTCCCATTGATGTCATTGCCTTCTCAGATTGCTTGAGTTTAACCTTTTCTACATTGCAGGATAATAGATGCATTTAGGTGGGGGAGGTACTGAGCACAGGGGCACTCTTTGGCTAAATACACAGCAATTTGTGTGTCAGGAGGAAAATTGGTGAATGCTATGCAAGTGGATTGCAAGCACGTGCAGTGGAAGAGCATTAGAGGGTCCGGGGAAGGAGGAAATTAGCATTAGGATGGAGGCCTTCTTGGAAGAGCAAACGCCAACACTCAGTAATGGGCTGAATGGCCTCCAATAAATACAACCAGTCTCCTTACCCCATTCAGTTATTCAGATACGTGGCTGACAAAGGCTCTCCCTCACGTTCGGTTATTGTCACAAATCTAGCAAATCAGCCGTAATATTTTGGTCAGCCGGGGGGGGGATCTGACACATGCGGAAACCCATCATCATGTTTAAGAGTATCCAAACCAACTGAGAATTCCATGTGTGCCACCCAGCCATGGACATCTTCCTCAGTCTGGAATGGAATGTGTACTCCCTCTCTCCCCGGAGGGCATATCCTGCTTACTTAAGTCCGAGTGTATTAGGTACAGGTTGGCAAGAGTCAAGCCTTGAAGCCCCATGGAATACTGTAGACTAACAACCTCAGGAATGGACAAAGGAGGTCGCCACAGAGGGTCAACTTGATTCTAACATCCATTGCTAAGCATGTCACCTTGGAGCCAGTTCGGTTCCAGGGAGACGACGACGACGACAACAACAACTTGCATTTATATAAGCGCCCTTCCTGCCGGAAGGCATCTCAGAGACTCCTCTTATCTCTTCCCCCGTGGAGGAATCACACCCCCACCATAAAGGATCTCTCTAACGAACAGCTGAAGTCTGGAGTCCACAAACTGACAGATCTGCTCCTGAGCCAGGCTGTCACCATTGATTATGACAATAGGGGGAGAAGAGGGAAGGAAGACATCCAGGTCCACTCGATGGCTAAATATGAAACGCTTCATTATATTAACCCTAATGTCAGCTGGTGAGAATGCTGGCCTTGACGCTGTTGTTTAGCTGCTTGAAAGCAGCACACGTTTACAGGCAGAGAGCCGGCGGAAGCAGAAAATGTTTGATTCAAGAACAAATGAGATAGATTTCTGCTGGAAAATAATACCGGGGGATACAGGACATAGTTTGGGACACGACATGTCAAGTCACTGCCAGGATGGTGGAAGGCAAACCGGCTGTGCAAAGCAGAGGTGAAGTAACGGCAGCTAATTACCAAACACTGACTGCTCAGAGAGCAAGCACACAGCCAGTCAACGTAAGCTGGTAATCTATCCCGAGATCTGACCGAACTGAGAGCCAGAGTTCAGAGATGGCAGTGTTGGGCTCTGGTTACCCTACGATTGCAGCCGCCCTGTGATCTCCATCCAGCACTTGGGGAAAGGGTTAACACAACAAAAGGATAAATTAGATTTACGAGCTGCTGCTTTTCCAAAGTATTTTCGGCTTGAGTCCGTGCCAACATTGCCAGGCGCACCTGACAGACTGTGTGTTTGTGTTAAGAGTTTGAAGGCTTCCATATTAGGTAACGAGGGTTGCAGGCAGGGTCAGAATCTTCCACCAACTCATCTCACCTCCTTTCTCTGTCATCCCGGGAGTACAGCACAATCTGCTCAGCAGACCAAGCGTTTCACCCAGAAAATATACGGTCAATTCACTTCAGAGCCTCAACGGGGAGCGAGATCAATATTAACAGTCATAATAATTCTAATAATCCTTGCATTTGATAGGGGGCCTTATCTCGCATTGAGATGGCTCGCACGTTCACCTACAAAAATGTACAGTCACTACACGTCACAGTAAGCACTTTGCGATGTCCCCCTCCCCTGTGAAAGGCACTAGATGCAAGGATTAGTAGTATGTATCTATCTACTGAGTTAGCTGCTCTCAGCCAGGGAAGCAAATGAGAGAATCATCCAATGTTCTCATCTCTGATCACTTGTCCAGCGATTCCTTCTGCCCGTGTTTTCAGCCACTATCCCCCAAATCCCTGGAACTCCTTGTCTCAATCCCTCCATCTTGTCCCTTCTTTGCCCGTCCTCAAATCGCACCTGAAGATTACCCTCTTCGGTCGTGCCCTCGGTCACCTCCCTTCCCTTTCCAGCTCGACTTCAAACCACTCCCCCGTGAAGCGCTCTGAGACGCTACCCATACGAGGGGCACGATATCAGGGCAAGTTGTTGTTGTAAGAGTTTGCTTGCAAAAATATACTCAGTGCACTTGTCAATAAATCGCTGCAAAGCGCTCGAAGGTGCTTTGATGTTATAGATGTGATGGATTGTACGTACATTTGATGCTGTGTCAAATACAAGGGTCACTTATTGTTAATTTTCTATGATACAAGATCAAGCAGTTCGCACACACACACACGCGCCCGAGTTAGGCTCTGTGAACAAGACACATTGCCGTTGTTATTACATTACAGCGAGACCCAAAACATATGTTTGTTTTTGTGAAACAGATTTGGATTGAGATATAGCGCTCTATGATTCAGGACGGCCAAAGAGGTCTTGTGGAAACACGTATTTTACAAGAAAGCCTCGCAGTAACACCGGCAGCTAAGAGAGGATGATATTTGTCATGCCCTGTGACCCCCCCCCCTACCCCCCGCCCCCACTCGCTGAGCGGAGAGTGAAGAGTAACAGTGAGTCCCAAACCAATTGGTTTAGCATCAGGAGAAAGTGCCACGGGCCAGCTCTTTCTCTCTCTCTCTCTCTCTTTCGCTCCGTCTTTATTAGGGATTTATTGTGCTGTGTATTTTTACTGGCTCCAAGTGATTAGCCGTGGGCTTGTTTGTTATGACAAGGCCTTGTGTATAGAAGCTCGTACAGAATGCAGAAACTTTATACACAGAAAGATATTCGCCGGCGTTACATCATACAGTGGGCGTGGAATATCGGCTGCTGAGCTCAGATAGGAAAACAGTGAAATCTTTGCTCCCACTCTCTCCCTTCCACCTACTCTCTCTCACACCATCGCTCCCTTCCAAACTCTCTCTCCCTCACAACCCTCTCTCTCATCCTCTCACCATCTCTCTCTCACCCCCTCTTTCCCTCACACCTACTCTCCCCGACACAGCCCCTCTCACTATGGTCACCTCCTCTTTCTCCCCAGCTCGGACTCAAACCTGCTCCGTAGATAAACTCTCCCTGTGTGAAGGGCGCTATATGAATGCAAGTTGTTGATCTTTATCTTCATCTGAGCCTTTCGTGTGACCTTACGATGTAAGACAAGCCCTGATCACATCAAACTTCCAGTGAGGGTCATTCATAATAGTAATAGTAATTAGAAGTGAGAATCACGGCTGATTGATTTCCTCTCTGTAGCCCAAGGACACCGATGGTAATAGTCAGGTTCCCCTCCGCTGTGGCTAAGATGGTGTAACGCAGCACAGTACAAACCCTGAACCCAGGACATGAGGTGCTGGGCTCAATGCCACGCTACTTGCTCTGTGTAACCACCGAGCCGGTGGGATTTGGAATTTCCTGTTCCAGAATCTTTCCCTTTTAAGATCAAAAATATTTCTCTGATATTATACAATTATTTTAAAATTATTTACAGCTGTATAGTTTGCTGAAATTAATAATTCTTATGGAAAAGTCAACTAAAATCCTTAACTACGCCCATTAGCTTCAAATGTCCCGCCACGTCTCTGAAGCAGATCTGATCGGAGAAGTGACGTACTTTTGTACAACTTGGACTCCTTATTCACGGGATCACAAGAGAAGTTCACATGATACCTTCTGTCCATATGATCTCACGTTCCAGAATTCCCTCTGTACCATCCTCCCGTTTCAACAACAACAACAACAACAACTTGCATTTATACAGCATCCTTCACACAGGGTAGATTCCCGTAGCACTTGACAGTGGTGGAATCTGACCCAAACTTATTTATCCCTTGAATACAGTCTCACCAAATGCACTTCCAGTAGAAACACTCAACAATTGACGAACTGTTTCCTCAAAATCCATTCCCCTCCCTGATCTCACAATAGACGTCGGAATCACCGGCATCTACAACTCTCCTGGACTTCATTTTTTATTTATTGTTTGTAGTTTCAAGTCGTGCAAATAAAACTGTGCTTTAATCAGCAGTTTTGAAGGCAATGTGTGCTTTTAATTATTTATCCTATTTTTTTTGTTCAGGTAGTTTTACTGTTAAATTTCAGGCTAAAGGGTTGCAGCGATAGGTGCGAGAGAGAGAGAGAGAGACTGTGTGTGAGGTGGAGTGAATTAATCACGGAGTAACAGGTAAACAGGACAGGACTTGGGATCTGACTGATTCTGAGGCGGAGAGAGTGACAGAGAAAGAAAGAAAAAGAAAAACAGAGGTAGCATCCTGGAGCGCTTGACAGTGGTGCAGTCTGACACCGAGCCAGGGGGGAGAGGGAGGGGGGGAGGGAGGTGGGCCATAAGCACGATCAAAAAGAAAGGTCTTCAGGCAGGATTTGAAGGGAGGGAGGGAAGGAGGGGGCAATGCGGAGGAATTGAAGGAGACAGACACTGAGATAGTCTCTGCTTCGAGCACAGTGAGTGAGCCTTGAGCCTTTAGACAGGCAGCAAGCAGCAGCCTGTAAACCCGCTAATGATGACTTTACTGCGAGGCTGACTGTATGTAGTCTTTGTTGAAGCCCTTTTGCCGACATCTGGTTTCTCTTAGAGCAGAGGAGAGACTGAAATAATGTTTTTCACCCCTCCGTCTCGGATCGCTATAAATTATGGCATCGCCACCGTTAGTTTGCCAGCGTGAAGCGCCTGTTGCTGTTTAAGCTGCTGCCTGTGTTGGTCAGTGTGCATTACAGTACTCACACGCCGCTTGTTTAACAGTGACAGCAGCTGCGAGCGAGAGCAAGGCACAGAGGCTCAGAAACACACTCACCAACTCGTACACTCGCAGCCGAACACAGGCTGGGGACCTGGACTAGCTCTACTGGAAACGTGCAAAGTCATCGGGAACTCGCTGTCTCCATTGTACGGTAAGTGCCTATTTATCTCATTATATATACTGTATATTATATATATATATATATATATACAGGGTAACCAAAAAGTCATGTTATCTAAACTATTATCTAAAAAAAAATCATTGTTTCTTTAAGACTTATTAGACATTGTAATAGTATCATGACTTTTTGGACACCCCGTGTGTATATAGCCTGACATAAGGCTCTGAGTCAAAACATCTGGACATTGTATGACTATATCTGACCAGACCCGGGTTATCAGTGAGTGAGTGAGTGAGTGAGTGAGTGAGTGAGTGAGTGAGTGGGTGGGTGAGTGGGTGGGTGGGTGGGTGCGTGGGTGGGTGAGTGGGTGGGTGGGTGGGTGGGTGAGTGAGCGAGCGAGCAGCCTGCCCTGTTAATAGGCTGTATCTTAAGGTGTGTACAGTATTTATTCAGGCACCACTGAATCCCTTTGGCATTTGGCTATGTCGGGAGGATGAAGCAAGGGCTTGTTTATTTGTTTTTATGTATATTGATTGTGTTCCTGGGATGGGATGGGATATTCCCAGTAGGAAGCCCGGTGTTGGGAGCTGGTGTGTGTGTGTGTGACACAGCTCAGGCAGGGGTGGGGGTGCAGGCAGAGCACTGGGCACTCACATACACACAGGCTGGACATCGCTGAGAGTCAGCTTATGTGTCGCTCAACAAAAAGGAATTGAAATTTAGCCGCATTTTCCTCCAAATAATATGCTCCCCATAAACCCCCCCACCCCACACACACACATACACACACACCCCACACACGCGCACGCACACCAAACCCGGAAAGTTAAATCTTTCTGGATTAACTTTGAATTAGATCAGTCTCTGCTGACAGTTTCAGGGTCTCACTGTAAAGCGTTACAGAATATAAACCGCGGGATTTTTTTTCAACCGCAACTCCCTCTACTGTATCCCTTTCTGATTTGCCTGCAGATTATGTGTGTTTCATCGTAATGTTCATTCTGTTAGGTTTAAACCGTGCAGTGGTTAGCGTGTTCGCCTAGCAAACGAGCGGACCTGATTTCAGTTCCCGGGCGGGAGGGTGAAACCTTAAGCAAGTTTCCTTACTTCACCCGCCTCTGTTTATCAAGTCGGAACCCGGTGTTTTGGTCGATTGGCCGATCGCTTTCTGTGGGTAATAATCCCTCCAAAAAAAAAAAAGAGAATTTAGTCACTCAATCCACGACTGTTTGCGGGACGCCGCTGTGGGTGCAGTCGTTTCGCCTGCCTTAAGTGATCCCGTTCAAAAATCGTGCACATTCCACTTCATGCAAATGTGTGGCATTGCAAACGCTATGTGGGTCTGGGTCACAAAATACACAGTCAAATCCACTTGACAATGTATTCCGTGAAGCGCTTTGAGACGCCTCAATGACGTGATGAGGCGCTCTATCCAACGCAAGGATTATTATTATTTTTAATATACCATACAGCATGATAGGATTAACGATGGAAGGCTGGATGTCCTGGTTGCTCTCGGTCACACACACAGCAGTGTCACGTGTCTGTCTGTCTTTGCCCCTGTGCTACTGACCTTTCACACAATACCTGGCTTCTCCACTAAGAATGATTAACTGGTCACAAGGGAAATTATGGGCAAAGCACAAGCTTATTTGAATGACTTTCTGATGGCTTATTTCCACCCACAATATACACAGTCAACTCACTTTACAATATATCCTGTGAAGCGCTTTGAGACGCCTGAACAACGTGATAAGGCGCTATATCAAATGCAAGGATTATTATTATTATTATTATTTCAGCAGGACTGTGTGCTTTGTCACCCCAAATCTCTCTGTAAAATAAAATGCAAAACTACTGCATATTCACTGGTAGGTGAGTCAGAGGGCCATTTTTGAAAATTGTTTCCAAAAAAAAACAAAGGGAAAAGTTAGGAGAAATATTTTGCACTGAGAATCATGAGGATGCGTAGAACCAAAAGCAGTGGTCGAAGCAGATTCCGTACTTGGTTTTAAAAGACAAGTATTTTAAGGATACACTGTATGTGTTAAGGGGTGTGAGAAAAGAGCAGGTGGGTGGAATTCTCCCTCAGAGAGCTGGAGTAGACTTCATAGGCCAAGTCACCTGCCTCCTGAGCGTAAAAAGGCTATGATTCTATATAAATCAATTTCATATCAGATTTTCTCCACTCCTCTCTTTCTCATGCGGAAGGTGCAGACTTGTACTAGAGTTTGGTTCTACTAGTGCCAGGTACCTTCCAACACCTTGCCCAACACTTGAGTGTTAGCTAGCCTCTCCCTAGTTAGAAATGTCAGGCTTTTATAATTAATAATAAAATAATCCTTGCATTTGATACAGCGCCTTATCACATCTTCGAGACGTCTCAAAGCTCTTCACTGCACCCAATGCCTACTGTATACAGTGAATTGACTGTATACTTTGTGGGCGAAATATGAATAAGAATTCATAACGCGGAAACAAAAAAAAAGGGGAAACACAAGAGGACGTCTTCGAAGAAAAAAAAAACATGGAATCGGTTATACGTTTGAATTTTGGACAAAAGATTTCATGACCTTCGGAACATTTTACTGGAGAAAGGTAAACCAGCTGTAATAAGCTGTTCTTCCAGTCAGTGTAGTGCGTTTCGATATGCTTTTGTCCCCCAACCGGTAATTTATTTTAAAAAAAACAACGGCAACGACTTGCATTTCTATAGCCCCCTCCACACAGGGTAGCGTCTCGGAAAGCTTTGAATTTCTCATTTAAATTCAACAAAAAGGGAGCTGGCACATGCTTCTTGCTGGGTGTGGGCTGTTGCTGGTGCAGATCAGCTGCTGTGTTAAAGCACATCAGAGCAACTGCACTTCAAAGGTGTTGTGCCAAAGTCTTTTGAGGCATTTCGCTGCGATAAGGTGATGTGTCGAGTACACAGAGTATTACATCAGGCTGTAAGCTGGCATCTTGTGCCCGCTGGGTGTGGGCAGGGCGAGGAGACATGGTGAAATGGTATTTACCAAATGAGAGCAAAGCAGGGTGTCCTGACACTACCGTGCCCTGTGGCTATAATGCAGACACGGTTTCCATCTTCATCGTATCTAAACAAGTAGAAAGACATGAATGAAGTGGCTTTTCAGTGAATGCCTGTGTGACCCATCCAGTGATGTGGCGAGCACTCGGTACAGGTTTGCGTTGGTAAACTGAGCTACAGCCGAATGGTGTTGTGGGTGTCAAAGAGCAAGGGCAGCATCAAAGAGAACGAGAACCATAGCTGTAAACTGCAGTAATCAGTGGCGAACCTTTAGGGGAGTACAAAACAGAGAGTCTAAATGCCAATAAATAGAGAGAGAGAGACGGTGAAGGGAGGAGAGGGGAGAGAGAAAGAAAAGGGAGAGAGAAAGAGAGAGACGGTAGAAAAAGAAGCCAAACTGAGGAACCGGAGAAGGAGGGAAATCAGAAGAAAAATGTGATGGAGAACGTTGAGATGACGTTCCAAAACAAATCAGAGCAGGAGAAGGAAAGAGAGATAGAGAGCAGTAAGAACATTCACAGCGGAACGGAGAGAGATAGAGGACAGAGAGGCCGACTGCAGTGTGAGCAGGGCACACATTCCAGCTCCCAGCAGTAGGTAACATATCAATGAGTGTGTCAGCAATTGCTCTGACTGCTGCTACGCATCAATACAATGGAAACCAGCCAAACCCAGTGAAAATCACTCTCTTCTGAGGATGAAAATGTACAGCTCCTGAACTCAGCAATATCAGCCGCCAGACGCTTACCAATCGCTCACCAATACAGGCAAGTTGTTCCTTTGCTTTTTAAGATACAGGGTGACCAAAAATTTGTGATACCATCACAATGTCTCATCAAGGGGAACCCGGTTGTTAGACGACTGGTGGATCGCTTTTCCAGGGGTTAATACTCCCTTCAAAATAAATAAAAGCAATAGTTTGCTTACTCAATCCACGACTGTTTGTGGGGACGCTGCTGTGCGCAATTGTGGCTGCTGCGTTTCGCCCACAAAATATACATTCAGTTCACTTTACAGTATATTCCGTGAAGCGCTTTGAGATGTCTCAAAAAAAACGTGATAAGGTGCTATATCAAATGCAAGGATTATTATTGTTATTATCATCCTGCATTTTGTATGATTCAGATGTTGTATGTGCATTTAAATGAATTTTAAGCAACTAAGAGCTGAGGGTTATATTCTTTATATAATGCTGTCGCAGCTTGACATAATTATGATAATTATGCTTGCATTCGACACAGGATCAAAATGTGTCCCAAGCGCTTCACTGGAAATTGCTGTCAAGTGTAGTGACTGCGTTTGTAGAAGAATCGGGAGGGATAGAGAATAGAGAGGACGGCACTGTGTTAGGCTGTAAACTGCTGTGCCCTGAAATGGCAGCAAATAAACCTCAATTGCCATTCACCACACAGCAGGCACCAAATCTCAGCTGGACTTTACAACAGAGTGGAGTAAGAATTAGGAAAGTTGCCCCTTCCGCTGCCACTCTTCTGCACTTCCTGGGGTTTACTTGTAGAGCAGGGTTGATAGGGAACAACACCCTTCAGTCCTGCCAACGTGGAGACAACAAGAAGTGCGATAGCCGTCGGCAGAAATCAATCGCGGAATTTCAGCTTCTTTTCCACTCGACAATACTGTTTCGCTTCTCAAGTATTGGCTCAAATGGAAACTGACTGCGCCGAGTTTGGGAGATTTAATACAGTCTGACTGTCTGTCTCGCAAAGAGCTGTGAGAAGCGAGATATTATGTCAAGGCATCCCGGAGATGTGGAGAGATGAAATACAGCTGGCCTCCGCTTGCTTGGCTGATCAGCTTTTACTAACTGGATTTGAGCAGTGCGCCCACTGACTTAGCTCCGAGTCTCATTCTTCTTTAATCGGCTGCTCTGTCCCATGACAGAACCTGACAAGGTGCAGTTCAATTCCCTCATTCAACTGGCTTTCTCTGGTCAGATGGCTGGAGCGAGGAATCAGAAGATTAGCAGCAGATCTCATAAGGCCTA